GTGATTAAAACTTTGCACACAAAAAAAGTTCCTAACTTTTCTAAACTTTGATGTTTTACGATTTTTGTGTCCATCAAGTATCCCTTCCGAAAAGTTCAGAAAAGTTTGCATTTTTGGATGAGTTAAAATTTTGGATAAGTTTTTTTTGGTAATGAAGTTTTTATCCAATTTTTTTAATGTTTTTGGGTAAAATTTGTGATTTTTTAGTGCTACAGTCAACTCTTGCTTACTGAATATTCTGCAACTGGATGAAATTTTAAGTCCCTTCAATTTTGCAAGCAGTGCTATCTCCCTAACTAGATAGCTCCTTTACTCGATGTGTTTTGATTAATTTTGCTATGTATTTTCACCTCCCTAAGTCGATTTTTTCCCTTAATTTTAAATAAAATTGTTGCAATAAAATTGTAACACGTAACGTAATTGTGATCTAGTAAATATATTTAAAAATTAAATCATAAGTAAATTATTTATTCATAAATCTGAAGAAAAAAAATATTCCGCTAGACCAGTGCACGGATAAACTGTTAAATATATAGATTCAATTTCATATCGATATCTTAGCTTAATAGTCAAGTAGATTATAGGGTTATGTAAAGGAATTTAAAAATATGATTGACTTTAACTAGATACCTCCTTAAGTTGAATCAGACGACGGTGACGATACGTTGAATTTAAGTGATTTGTTCGTAATAAATAAAGTGATTATAGAAAAACCCCACGCCAAATGACAAATCGGAAAAACTCGACCGATTTGCATGAACTTTTCATAATTGTTTGTTATGAGCAATGATTCACATTTTTGCTAAAATTGGGCTATTTTTAATAATGCAAAATGCTCAGTGAGCAAAAACAGTCGCCACTAGGCTACCTAGTCTCTTATAGCAGTTTCCAAAAATTAAATTATATTTGTTCATTACACCATGTGAACTTTATCTTTTATTATTGGCATCAACTGGTTTAGGTTTTTATAATACATTTTGAGGTTTATTAGTGTTCTGTTCATTAACATTGTGAAGAGTAACAGTTTTAACTCGGAATTTTCTAGAAAATTACCAGAAAATTCCTTCGAAACTCTCTTAAGCAATTCCTTGGATGAAGTAATGAAATTGGGTTGTTAGCGGAATGCTTAAATAAAACAGCAAAAAAGGTTATCTTTCATTTAATTCCACTTAATTAATTTTGATATCCATGACAGATACGTATTTTGACTACAGTGTGCAGTCTTCATCAGTGTCATTCCCACTAAAGAACTTATCAAAATCTAACCCCCTTAAGTACTCATCGCCTAAGTATAAAAGTCAAGATCACAGGTATAAAAATGAAACTACAATGTGTTGAATCGGAACCTACCTAACTAATTAAAACCAAAGATTTAAGTAAACTAAAGGAGAAAAATCTATTCAACTCTCTAATAAGGAAAATCCCAAAGGCTTGGTAGCCATCATAATGAAGTAATGAAATTGGGTTGTTAGCGGAATGCTTAAATAAAACAGCAAAAAATCTTATCTTCCATTTAATTCCACTTAATTAATTTTGATATCCATGACAGATACGTATTTCGACTACAATGTGCAGTCTTTATCATCTTCATAATTTTACATTTCCTTGGAATTTTTCCTATATTATGATAATTGAATTATTTTGAAACTCTTCCAAAAAATTCATTTAAACTCATAATTCTCATCAGAAATCCTTAGGAACTCTCACCGGAAATCATTTGGAATTGTTTTCTGAGTTTTATAGAAGTCATTATAAAGAATTTCTTTCAATATCTCATCCATTTTTTTTTTAAAGAATTCCCTTTAAGTTCTTTTCTCACTCTTGCTTAGTATTATTTTGAAATTATCATCAGAACACTAAATTCTGCTTATAATTCTTTTTGAACTGTCATCCGAATTCACTTTAAATTATCTCTCAAATGATTATGATATTCTCCTCAAGATTATCATTAAATTCTTCTCTGATTTTTTCCGTATCTTTTTAGAAATCCTCCTCAGCATATTTTCTGGAGTTGACACTTTTTTAAATTCTCCCCAAAATTCCAAAGGTAGAATTTTATAAACAGATCATAAAAGTTTTAAACCCTGAAATTTCCCAAAGTTTTGAAATATTTTCAGGGTAAAATCTGGGACCTTGGAAATTCAGATTGATGGAAACATTTCAAATTCTTTTCTTTTTTTTTTAAATCTTTGATCACGATGATTTTTATAAGTCACAAATAGGGGAAATGCAGGTAATGTCGGCCTAAGTGTCCCTAATTTGGGCTCATACATTAATTCAGCAATCGACTAAATTTTTAAATAGCAACCAAAAATATCCATTAGTAACGTCCCAATAACGCGTTAATCTAGATAAAATTGATAAATAGTAGATTTTTAGCGATGGGCCCAATCTTAGATCCATGGGCCAACATTAGAGACATTTCCCTATCGAAAAAATATCAAAGTCTAAGACTATAAACAAATGTCCAAAGCCTCACAATCATGATTTTTTAAGTCCCTTAACTTTTAAGATTTCTTTTAGTACAGACTACGGAGTATTATAATTTCTTGCTTCGGAGTCTCCAAGTACTTTCTCTAGATCTCATCTATAATCAAATTCAAGATTTCAATTAATAATTTCGTATTTATATCTCTCACTATTTACAATTTGGTACTATGGTCCATTCAGTCTTTTGGCGTTCGGTCTAGTGACCTTAAAAAATGTTTGTTTCTTTGTAAATCCTGGAGTTTTTAAAATATGAGGTTCGGAGCTTTAAAAAAAGGTGATTCAAATATATTTTATAAGGATCTTGAAAAAAAAGACAATAACTTATGGTATTTTTTACATAGTCACTTCACAATGCTTTCAGGTGGCTAACACATTGAGCTGACAAATTGATATTTTTTTGTGGGATGAGTGTACAACGTATATAATGGTAAATTAAAGTACCATTCGTTTATTTATTTTTTTTTTTTTTTTTTTTTTTTTTTTTTTTATATGGAGGCGAACCAGCCCAAGGCTGAAAGCCTCATTAATAAAGTTAAATAATAATAATATTTTTTAATATATCAAGGTACCTATTTACATAGTTGAGTACTTAAGTACTTAACTACTAAATAATGCTTATTGTAGTTTAACTATTCAAGATTTTCTCACAATAACATCGAAATTTAAAAAAAAAAAAGTGATTGAAAACTCTCGTTTTTTGCTGCCTGACGGGTAATTTTTAAGATTTTTGTACCGATTTGATTCTTTTGTCTATGATGAGTCGTCTTCGATTCCATTTATTTGGAACTGCTGAGTAAGCGTTTTTTTTTAGAGAAGGAATAAGTGATTTGCTTTTTAGCTTGAAACGTAACTGAACAGATTTTATTGGGTATTGATATAAAAAAAAAAAACATTATTTTGTCGCAAATAGTATTACCTAAAATTGCTGCAAATAGTCCAACTGATCATTCGCTGCACAAAAAAAAGGCTCCTTTGCTGATTCTAAACCTTCAACGATCAACTTTACGCTTTCAATTGGACTTGCACTCGGTAGACATGCTTGGCATACACAGTTTTGGTCACGAACTGCTCATTTGCTAACAACTTTGCACACAGTTGACGAAACATAGTCCTTTTTGAAGCAGTAGATAGAATAGAGTTTAAGCTTGTTACAGATAACTAAAAAAAGTGGAGTTTAATTCTAGTAATAAACCGTATTTGTTTTTGCGTTGTACAAGTCAAGTGAGAAATGCTCGCTGCACATCTCGGACTTTAAGTGTAAAAGATGTGCCTACTCTTTACATATCTTTAGTAAACTATGATCCTAATCTATCAATTACTTTAAAGAAAAACAGATTTCAACAACTGAGGGAAAAGTTATTAACAAATAAGCAGTTGGTGTGTACAACTGGGTATGCCAAGCATGTCGGTAGATATTTGTTTTCGAATTCTTTCAATTTCTCTCCTGTTTCGTTATCCTCCTGTCAGTTCCTAGTCTGCGCACAGAGTCTCTTGCTTGGAAGAATCTACACTCGTTGAGCAATCTGTTGGCAACCGTGAATGTCTGTTTCAGTGGTGCTTCCATGAGTTGATGTATTTTCCCAAGCAAGTAAAGCTCTCAATGCTTTGAAATGTATTGCCACTACTACTAGCTCACCCACCTTACCTGGGATCAGGGATTTATTTTCCATCATTGAGTCGACACCCTGATTAGAATTCTTATGGAATGAATGGGGTTGAAATTTACTAACATTCAATAGGTTTTATTGCACCACATGGTCAAGTTTGCCTACGTATTTCTCGAGTCAACACAATGCGTGGACGATGTGTTTTTTTCTGTCATGATTTGCTGTACACTTATTACATGAAAGCAAGACTGAATGTTGCATCATCCAAGCTCAGCTATCTTTGTCATTCAGTTGTTGATTCTAAAGCTAGCATGCGACAATTACTGTAACTGGTTTGATCATCAACATCAGATTTTCATCTTGTCATTCAACTGCTTTAACTTTCACCTTCAATCATGATTGATCAAATTTGTGCTATACCATAATCTCCACCTGGGTCACCACGGTTTTAAAAAATCATCACAGGAAAAAATCCCAACTTCCGCCAATTACGTCCAATTTGGCGTGCAATTCAGAACTTAATAAAAAAAACCCACTTTTTCAACACGTGAATACCAATGTTGACATCACTGTTACTGCTGCCTACCACCGACTGACCGATCGCGAGTACTTACTACTGCTACTGCAGCGAAAGCCATTCGCTCATTTTGCGTTTCCCTATTAGTCACGTCACACATTATTCCCGTTCTGCTTCACCCGTCGTCGTCGTTGTCATGCAAACTCGTCGAAAAGCAAAAAGGTTCTGTTACAAACACAGTAATTCGAAGTCAAACCCACCGTTGAATTAGACTTCGAGGCACCACCGAGGCGAAATACCGTCGAGTGCTCAGCGCGGAACGCGATTTCTAGGTTCCCATTGAACCGAACTGTATTTCATTGAATTTTTCTTTCCCAAAAAATTAGCAAACAAACACACGCGCGTATCTCGACAAGAGAACACTAAATACCGACAGTAGCAGCTGAATGTGTCCCAGTACCTCCAGTTAGTACAAGAAAAAGAAGAAGAAGAATAAGAAGAAGAACTAGTGGAAATGTTGTGATTTTATCCTCTTGCCATTAGAAGAAGAATTTTAGAATCCGGAAGAAGAAGAAAGGTGAATCGTTAAGCGTAATTTTAACGAGTGTGATTGTAAATTATTTATTTAATCCGTCCCGTTTGTGTGTACGTGTAAGCGTTGGACGTTGGCCAGTGTTTTTGTGTCCGTCCTGGTTCAGGAGGCAGGGAAGATTCGATGTGACTGTATTGCGCTTTTCCCCGCCTCCAGCTGCCGTCCGCCGCCCGTTGTTCGATTGATACAACCGCACGCTGGTCCGTGATAGAAAGCTCAGAGTCAGATTGGGTAGTGACGATGTCGTCAGCGATGCCCGTGGTTTGGTGCACGGATCCCAACTCGTCGGGAAAGAGGCAACCGTTTGCTCTGCAAGGGATCCAACTGCAGGGCAACATCACCGAGAAACATGTGCTGGCCATGAAGGAGCTGATCAGTGCCGCCTCCGAAGGTCGTTTACTCCTGCCCAGCGATGGTGCCATTGTCCTGTTGGATTGTGGTCTGAGCATCGGGTCGATGGTAATCGAGGGCAAGGCCGGGAAAGAGGTAGCCGCGTCCCTGGCTGCGTCCGGTAATCATAAATCAATTCTCCCGGCAGTGCCGGAGGTTGCAGTGTTCTGCGATGTGAAGGAAGAGCATATCCATAATGCTAATAATGGAAGTGATGGTAGTAATAGAATCGTCAATAGGTGTGAAGGTGACGATGGGGAAGGGGGGGCTCGGGAGCAAGCATTCGTCACCGCGTTGGTAGAAGATGAGTGCAAACCTCTGGATATGTACGGTTGCGGCGGGGGAGCGGAAAACGGAGAATTTCTGTACGAGTTTCTCTGCTGTGCCAAATGTATGAACGATCCAGCGTCCAGTTGTTTCAATCCACCCAGTCATCGTAGTCGTAGTTTAAATTCGCTCAACAACAAATCACAGCTGTTGTCTCGGTTCCTTAATGGCCGCGCCAAGGCCCGCCTGTACTGTGATCCCCTGTACAACATCTCCAATCGGTATTTCAAACGGCTGGTCAATCATAAGGGCAGCAAGTCCCGATCGGACTCCCGTCGGAATGTGGTCCGCAAAAGCTCGATTCGAAGTGATCGATCGTCTGGCGGCAAGATCGTCAAGAAGAGCTCCGAAAACATCCCGATCTACGCCACGGTCAATAAAAAGATGAAGCTCCGAACGCGGTTGGAGGCCCTCCGGAGGCAGAACATCGACGCCGGCACGTTAGCATTACAAATTGCACTCGACAAGCAACAACTGATCAAAAGCAGATCGAATCCGACGATGACAGCAGCAGCAGCAGCAGGCCTAACATCATCGGAAATTAATAATCAATCATCTTCATCATCGTCGTTCCCGGTCCTCGGTCTGCTGCCGCCATTATCCCCCGGGAAGCCATATCATAGTTCCAGCAGGAAAACTAGTTTCGATTCGACGTGCACCGTGAGTTCAATGGATTCGGGTTTTATCGATCAACAGCAGCGACAACAGTTGAAGCAACTCCAGCAGCAGCTCCAACAACAGAAGAAAGGCAAGAGCAAGGAAATGCCTAACTGCCCTAGCGAGCCGATAACTGTTAAATCGAGTCCGGGCCCGGCGGAGAAAGAGTGCTCGAAAAAACTAGAAGAACTACCTTCCACTAATGATGACGACGGCGACGACGACCACGACGACGCGGATGGCGATGTTGTTGCTAGCGATGAAGATCGCCTTAATGAGTTATCCCAGCTGCAGATAAAAGATTGCCTGGTGACGCAATCGCGGAACCGTAGAAAATCATACGAAGAATTCAAATCGCTGTTCCGGCAACAGCAGCAGCAGCAAACCGAATGCCGTAGCCGTTTGGCCGTGGTCAACGAAAAAGACCCCCAGGCTTCTGGCACCGTGGCCACCGCCGCCCATGCCAACAACAACACTAGCAGTAGTAACGATAGCATAAAAACTCGACGCAAGTCCTACGAAGAATTCAAAGCTTCAGTCAAAATTTGTGATAGTAGCGTTAGTAATTTAAAGCCTACGTCCGAGGAGGAGGAAACGACGGAAGAGGACCCCCATCATCATACGGCCCTCTCCGGGGTCAGCGGGCTGTTCAAGATGAAGCGCAAAAACTCGCGACGTCTCAGTCTCAAGAAGCTGAAAATGCACGACAAAGCCGACCCACAGACTGCGGCGGGCGATAAGTCCGCCCCACCCACAGTGATTAGCAATAGCGTTAGTAAGATTAGCGAAGAAAGTAGTCACGTTAAGAATAGTACAATCTATGATATTCTACGAACTAAGAACAAACCCGACGAGCACAGGGACTCGGTAGTGTCCCTGGGCAAGGAACTGGCACCATTTCTAAAGGAGGAAATCTACCGCAAAAACTACAAAATCTACGATAAACTCATCTCGTACGGTAGCAAAGCTTATAAAAAGTACGACAAATACATGACCTACGGCACGATATACGAGATTCTGCATCGAAAGTCCGACGCAGCCGAAGACGTCTTCCTACGCAAGCGAGCTCTTTCGGAGAAGTTCGCCAAACGCAAACTCAGCGTCAGTTCACACTACAGTTCGCTGAAATTCGGCACCATCTACGATATTCTACAGAGCAGAGTTCACTGCAACGCTGCCCTACCAGCCGAAGCCGAACCCAGTGATAAACCGTGCAACAAACCTACCCTAGAACCGGAACCGCCAACCACCAATAACACCCTCTCCACCATCTACGATATCATCCACAAGAAAGCCGATTCGCCCAAACAGCAAACCAAGAATCGCTTCCTCGTCAAGAAAATCACCGAAGAGGAACTCCACAAGGGCAACGAAAACAATCGCAACGAACTCAACACCCCCGCCGCCAACAATCCTCAAGAATCTCCCATCAAGCCACCACCCTCCCCGGACTATACCACCCCCAAACCGGTCGATGCGTCCAAAAAGCCCACCCGAACCCGTCGCTTCTCCAACATACTGTCCTACAGTCCCCGCCATTTGCCCACTACCGAACCCCCTCCGGCGGACTCGGCCAAACTGGCCTCCAACGGATCTCGCCTGAAGAAGATCGCTGCCAGCGATGAAGACCTCTACAAACGAGATAGCTCCAAGCACCATCATCACCACCACCATCACCATCATCACCATCACCACCATCAACACGTCAAAGAGCCCCTTCCAAAAATGACAATCCCCAGCGAGGACGAGCTGTACTCCCGCATCGGCAGGCTTCGCAAATCCGCCACCGATAGCAGTGCCCTGTGCTCCAAGATCGACGAAGTACCGAAGCTCGTATTCCCGGTGGTGGACCTTCGACCTTCGAAAAGTCGACACGATCGACTGATGGTGCCCCGACCGGGTGCGATCTTCAAGTCCAACTCGCTGGATATGCTAGCGCCGACCAAGTTTGCGCGCAATCCCCGCTGGATCAAGCAGACTGCAGCAGCTGCGGCTGGTGGTCCGGTGCGAAAGTTGAGTCCGCTGGTGCTGCCGCGGAAGACTTCCGGTGGATCGCCCGCGGCCGGTACGAGCCAACAGCAGCCGAAGAAGAGCACCCGACGGCTGTCGGAGTTCACCCGAGGCGAGTTCCTGAATGAGAAATCGTAAGTATTGGAATTAGTTTTTTTAGTATGATTTACGGGGTTGTTACGACTGGCACGGATTTCGCGTTTTTGCAGGTGTGAGCCATTGTTGTAATTGTATTTTCAACTATCAAATCAAATTTCATTCAAGTAACCATAACAAATATTTAAAATTTGTTGCTCAATATGTTTTGATCGATATTGCAAATGTTAGTAATGTTAATGTTGTTGATAATAATTTTTAGTAGATTTGCGTTATTGCGCTGTTTTTCTTTTAATTATACTACTATTGTATCACTTCCACTTTCACTATTCACTTTTACTATTTATTTTCACCATCACTTTAAAAAAAATATAACAGACACGTATTTCGTTCACTACTTGCATTTTTCTTCAGTGTCTAGTCATAGACTAGACTAGACTAGATAATGCCAACTGAAGAAGTTTGCAAGTAGCAAACGAAATATGTATCTGTTATAGGTTTTTAAGTGACAGGGAAAGTAAATAGTAAAAGTGAAAAGTGAATTAGTGAAAGTGAAAGTGATACAATAGCAGTAGAATTAAACGGAAAAACAACGTAATAAGATGTACAATTATTCTACTAAAACACTTGTCAATCCATTTCTAGATAGAGCTGGAATTAGGGCATAACAGCTTTTTTAAATAATTAATTCTCTCTAGGATTTCTAAGAATTCAAGGCACGCCCACGCAAACCGGATAGGGGAAGTCCTCTTGATATTTTTAAACTTCAGGTTGATCAATTAAAATCACGTTTATTAGATGTTCTCTCATGATATCAGGCAGCTCAAAAATCATTCCGAAAACCATCAGGTGATCAGAGATCCCAATGATCACCTCGATTTTTTAAAAGACTGCAGGTTGATCAGGCATCATTCTGAAAATATTCAACTATCCAACTATCTAAAACATCTCTGATATTATATCATATGATAAAATGCAGTTAAGAAATGTTTCCAAAGACTTTCATGTGTTTTAGGATTTCCTTAAAGTCCTCTGGATACTTTGTCAAGATTACAGGATGATCACGTACTCCATTCTCTAATGATAATAGGTGTTATTCCAAAGACCTTCAGGCAGGCTTGCAATTGCTCATTACAGCTAAAATGCTATTTTTCGTAATTATAAAACAATTAGATACTATAATGATAATTTTTATTTGTAAGCGAGCAACCAGTGATCATAAAATCGCTAGTTGTGACCTTCTGAAAGCAAAATTGACAAATTTTATATGTCATACACAAACTTTACCACCTCTTCTTACATCTTACAAATAAAAATTATCATTATAGTATCTCATTGTTTCATAATTACGAAAAATAGCATTTTAGCTGTAATGAGCAATTGCAAGCCTGGCTTCAGGTAAACAGAGATCTCCAAAAACTTTCCATGATATTTTTTCAAGTCATCAGGTTGAACCAACAATTTAAATAAAAAACGTCTCTCAGATATTCACTCCCGATACCAGGTTGCTTCGAAATTGTTTTAAAGACCATCAGGCGATCAGCGATCTCCATACAATAATCAACAATCCAAATCTGGGAGATATTTTCTGATACGATACCGACTCAGACATTATTTCATAACCCTTCAGCAGAAGTAATACTCAGGATATTTTTTCGAATGTTCAGGTTGTTCATTTGAAGACATCTGGATGATCAGGTACAATTCTGAAGATAACAAACTGTCCAACAATTCCAATAATGTCTGTCAGAATTCTCTCAGGAAACCAGAGGACTCTTACTTTTTTTCCAAAATCTTCTCTGGATATTTTTTCAATACTCTGGTTGATCAATTATACTGTCCATTGATTTAAACCACGTCTCTCAGATATTCTCTTATGATACCAGGTTGCTCAAAAATTATTCAGCTGCGTCTCTTAGATGTGCTCTTACGATATCACGTAACTAGCCGGCGCCGGTGGTGTAGTGGTAAGCGTGACTGCGTTCTCACCCCAATGGGTCTGGGTTCAATCCCAGCCGAGGTCGGTGGGATTTTTCTGAGACATAAAAATCTCTGGTCACGCCTTCCTTCGCAAGGAAAATAAAGCCGTTGGTCCCGGCCCATGTGTGTTATGAATGGGTGCGATATCCTACGCGCAGGTGTTGAAGCTGTCTTACTGCACATTCGGTTGCCGTCAATGGATAGCAATCGATGTCCGTCGGTGATTGGCACTAGATTACGGAACACAGACCGACGTTAAATAAAAGAATGAAGAGAAGAAGATACCGCGTGACTGGGAAGTTATTCCAAACACCTTCACCTTTCAATACTTCAGGATGATCAAGTAGTATTCTAATGATATTCTACTGTCCAACAATTCAAATCACGTCTATCAGATATTCAACCACGACACCAGGATGATCTGAAATTATTTAAAAAGCATTAGGTGATCAGTGACCTCCATGAAATCCTTAGGATATTTTTTTTTTTTCAAGACATGAGGTTGAACAGGAAACGCCTCTTAGATATTCTCTCATGATACCAAGTGTCTTATAAAATACTCCTAATATCATCAGGTGATCAGAGATCTCCAAAGCCTTCTATCAGCCATTGTCTTATAATTGGTGCCGTGGTAAGCCACATTCAAAGCAGCTTCAATCCCATGTACTCCAGAGCCTGCTCTTGGGTATAAACCTTGATTGACCGCTTCCAGCACCGAAGCAGCATATCCGTATCGATGCTTACCGCTTGCCTAATCTCCGTATATCTCTTGCCTAATAAAAAATATCGATTTTACTCCACCAAGCTCAATCGATTTCAAATCAGGACCTGGTAATTCTCCCAAAATATGCGCTCATTTGTAATTTTCTAAAGAAAATTCACGTGCATAAACATTTTGACGTAGGACTACGTCTGGGATTTCTATATGGGGGTACACTTTGTCAAAACCGAAAATCGAACATGTAACAAAATTATGAAAGATTTTGAACGATAATAACTCAGTTGCCCCTGGACCAATTTCAATAATGTTATCACCATCGATCAGATATATTTTTACGTATCTGTTAAATTTAAGGCTTTATCATTTTTGAAATGTCACTATTGAAAATTGCACGAATGTTCAACTGTTGCTTTGATAATCAAAATTATCACCTGTGGAAAGCGATTTCCCTAACGCAGATTTCAAAGTTGAAGTCCATCCGGTCTCATCAAACGGTGTTTATTCAATCACCGCGTGGTGAGTGGTGGTGTTCTCCATTACACAACGAAAGGCTCCCCACTATCAGCTAACAACCAAGGCTGGCCTCAACCGCTGATCGGATTCAGTTCCAATCACCGTGTGTGGTGGTGTCCGGTAGTCTGCATCAGCTGCAGCAGCAGCAGTGCTTTTGGCGCGTGGTGTTGAACATTGTTCTCCAGTACACAACGAAAGGCTGCCTGCAAGCAGTGAGTTGCAGCCCACATGAGTATCCATAGGAGGAAGAAGCCGCACTGCTATTGATCGGAATCAGTAGATCTTCGTGAGTCGCTGTGGGCCATCTATGCCAAGTGCGTCACCCTCATTCCAATACAACTCACCAGCCTCATCTGTGTTGAACACCCTAATAGCTCAACATTACACATCCATCACGACAAAACAGTCCTTTTCAGGACCAGCATAAATTTGTAAAAGAGTAGTTTTTGGACATTTGTCAAGGTCATCAATCGGGTGTCAGTTCCCATATCAAGATAGAGCTGGAGTTAGGCGGAACAGCTTTTGTAAATAATGACTTCTTTCGATGATGTCTTGAAAATCAAGGCTCACCCACGTAAATCAACATCACCATCAGGTAGGGTAAGACCTCCTCTACCCCTATGGTAATGTTGGTTTGCGTGGGTGTGTCTTGAATTCCTAAAAATCATCGAGAGAAGTCATTGTTTACAAATGCTGTTACGCCTAGTTCCAGCTCTATCTAGATATGTTTAAATTTAACATACCATGTACTTTAAGGTAACATTTAGGGTGCGATTACAAAAAAACAAAGTCGGTCGCTTCATGAAAATGGTCTGATTTTGATCCAGAGATGACGGATTTCAATTCTAAATACGCCAATCACCGATTGCCTGCGAAAAGCGATTTCCCTAACACAGATTACAAAGTTGAATTCCATCTGGTCTCACCAAACGGTGATTATTCAATCACCGCGTGGTGAGTGGTGGTGTTCTCCAGTACACAACGAAAGGCTGCAGCTCACATGAGCATCCATAGAAGGAGGAATAATCAGTAGCTCTTCGTAAGTTGCTGTGGGCCATGTATGTCAAGCACATCATACTAAAGAGTATAAACCTCGTTCAAATTCTACACAAAACACGAGCTCCTGCTGCAGTTGAAAATAAGATTTATTATGTAAGTAGTCCTACGTCAGTATTGCGTACAACTCCATAGGGCTGTCCCTTGTAGTTTTTTGTAAGTCATCATGGCACAAAGTTGCAGTCAAAAATCCACAAAATTTCGAACTTTCGGTTTTGCTGAGGATCCAATTTTTTTTTCATGGTGAGAATGAGATGGAAAACAAATTTTCACAGGTAAATTTCCTTCTGTAGGAAAGTAAAGCCGTCGGTCCCCGGTTCATGAGTTGATGGGTCGATAGGTAGAGTCCAGGTGTGGGAGCTGCCTCCCTAGCGTCGGTAGCATTGGTGCTCAGCACGGAAAACAAGATCAACGGAAAACAAATCAAGGAAAAAAAAAAATTTCCCAATATTTTTTAGAAAATCAAAAACGTGCCAAAAAAAATATTTTCGGGCGATAAATTTTCCCTTAAGAGCCGATTTTTTCAACCCCATACATATTGAACCATATAGTTAAACCCGTTTTAAAGCTTAGGTGGATTTGAAGAAATTGACCCTGAAACTTAGCGTGGCCAGTGATACGGGAAACCGGGAAAACCGAGAAAAAGTCGGGAACCCGTAATCACCGGGAAGATACCGATAGTTTAGATGATAAATCGATAAAAAATACTTTGTCCTCTCTCCTGATAAAATTTAAAATTGTGCTCCTTGGAATGTTTTCAAGACCTTG